TATATATATATATATATATATATATATATATATATATATAACAGGGTTCCCGACTGGGGGCACTATGGTCAGGATAATCAATAGTTAGAGAATGAGTTCAAAGGTTTACTGCTAGTCTGCTTCCGGAAACAACATAATCTATCCAACTGTTCCCTTTAACCTTACAACAGGCACTCACTATCAGACTCATTTTAGTAACTAGCTTGAACTTGTTACTAACAGCAGTTTCATTCCCAAAGCGGACCATCAAATACCCCAGAGCTACTTTGCCACATAACCACTGTTGGTCTAAGCATGTTGAAAACATTTGCATCAGGATATGTAGATTATAATTCTACGTTTTCAGACTTAAAAAGCGTGACGTTCCCCTCAATGTAATTCTTAAATTCTTAAATTTTTCACATTAATCATACTATTCCTCAGTATTTTTCAGATCTCTTAGAGAAAGACTTTATTGCCCTTTCCAGAAATCATGAACTTGTTTCCCGTTGCACAGCATTCCGAATACCGTTTGGATAGACTTTACTGCGCTTACGCATTTTCAAGTATGACAGTTTTACTAACCATATGCTGTCAAACGTAGAATACTGCATGCACGCCCATCGCAATTTCTCTCATCTGTTCCATAAGGCCAGCCGCTTAGGTCTCAGGCTCCTTTTGACTAACCACTCTCGACCCTGGAGGTCATGTCAGCAAATAAACACAGGGATGGGCAGTGTGCCGGTCAAAAAAAACCCTGGATGCGGACCCCGAGATCTTGGTGACCGGTAGTTAGAGACACTGAGTGATATGGCTGTTGTTAACAGTTGTGATCATGCATTTACTCATTACTCCTGCAACCGCAGTCTATATGAATTCTCTATCTTCTTTTTGACCCTGCTCTAAATATTCTAACCTTCATTCAGCTCTTTTATCCAAGTGGGTAGCCAAAAGACAGTAACCACAACCGGCAAATGCAAATGCATGGTTAACGGTTGCAAGAACTGAAACTAAACATACCGAAATTGCATCATTCCTCATCTTGATTATATTTTAGTAAATCAAACAATTACCATTACTGTCCTGGAAAATTACACTATTTTTAAACGTGCTCATTTATTTTTTTAAGTTTATTTATTGTTTGTTGTACGTTTTCGTGACTGTAACTTGTAGAAAGTGTCGCAAATCCAGTCTATTGGGTGCATGAATCTTAAATTGAAATAAAAACTCAAGCATGTTTGTTTTAAAAGCGCTACTTTTGCTTGTTGGAATGTTTTGACGCCCATTCAAATAGCGTCATTCAGGACCCCGTGTTTTTTTCAGGAATGATCCTCGAGGTTCGAATTCGACAAAGGCTCCCTGACTTTGGTATCAGGCAGATTGGCTACCGTTTTTGCGCAATATCATGGGCCTTTGCAAGAGTTCGAACAATTGGTTTCTATGACTTCTTTTACTCCTCATCAAACCCAGGCGGTGAGTACCGATCACGTAACCATTGTTACATTTAAGTGTGTAAACTGATGTGTGCTTGAAAGCTGGTAAGCAGATTCAGACTTTTGTTCACCATTGGAGATAAACCAATTTTTGACAGATTTGACATCGCAAGTTAACATCCATAATCCGATGATATTCTTTTAAAATGGTGTCGCCAATAAGTTCGGGTTTCGACCTCGGTTTCTTGTTACTTATGAATATAATCGTACATGAAGTTCGATCTCGTGTTGTACACCAACGACACGCAACGTTTTGTTGGAGGTTAAGCGTCTATCGCTGTAGAGGCTATTTACATAAACGTAGTAGCAGAAAATATCATTGGATTACGAAATGTGACAGGAGCAGCGTCTGAGCTACCGAACGGCCATGTTCCTGAGGTATCCACTACACAACTCGTCCTAGTGGCTTCACAAAGCTGAGGCGAACATCAGCGAATAAATTCAGGTAAACCGCTCGACAGGCTGAGTGAAACAGGTTAGGGGTGACCGATTCCAGAAAACCTCGGAGACGTCATATGGCATGCAAAACCGTTACTCATTAGTGGGCGAACGAGATCTACATATTAAACTAAACGTGATGAAGTAAATTTGTATAGCAGGGATGCATAGATCCCCGGGGGAAATTCATATCATACAGTTAATAAGCTCCAAGGGGGCACCAGTAATCATGCACCAGCGCACCGCTACCTGGCAGTCTATATTTGGTTGTCAATCTCAAAGGTGCGCCTTCCACAAAGGGGATGGCGTCGAGAGAGTTCTTTCTTCCGAATCCCCTGCATGTTTGTCATGAAGGGGACTTATTCTTTCCCAGGGAACACTCAGTAGCAGTAAAGTAATTGGTCAATGCCAGTAACCGCCCGAACCAACCGTAGGAGGATAAAGACAAGGGGTAGTGTTTAATCAAAGAGCATCAATGTATTATGCTGAAAACGAGTTCTAAGACTTGATCCCGAGGGCCCAAAAAGTACCGTGAATCACTTGAACGCCAACCAATGTGAATAAAACTGCTGAAACACGAACCTTGATCAGTGAGAAATCATTAAAATGTTGTAGACGTTTCAAATGCAGTTGAAAAAGTGGATTGAAAAATTCAGACGCAATGATACCAGAGCTATCTCAACCTACCTTTCGGAGCACGATAAGGCGTTGGCAGTTGATAGAGAGCTATGATTATCTGATTCCATTAATAGCTGCAGGGTGCGGGCGTACTTTTCTTCTTCCTCTGCAGACCATTCGACCTCGACTCCTGCTCCGGCATCTGATGTATTTGTCTCAGGCGACAGCCAGTACCGACTGTCTGGGAGGACGAGGCTATTTGGATTTGAACTCCCATTGAGACTACCGTCACTAGACGGACCTCCGATATCCAAGTGTTGCAGGCGGCCATCATGTGTTGCAATGAAATGACCATCAACAGTAGGAACTAGTCTAACACCTCCAGTGGGGAGTTGGATGGAACTGCTCAGTCCCTCGGAATTGGTATCCACCAAGTCGGCATTGCCGAGGCCAGCGGCACGAAGGACCTGCCCAGGAGCACTCTGTGTCAGCCCGAATCTGCGCATACCGAACATGTTGTAGTTCGCGCTTTGATCGGACTGTCCAGAGACTATTGCAGCCATATTGGCAAAGCTCCAAGGGTTACGCTTAATTGCATCCATTAAAGTTGGTCGTTCGCGGGGTTCAACCGTCCAAAAGGCACCCCGCCCTGGTCCCTGTTACAACAATAATAGAGGAAGATTCGAAAAGGAGATGGTAATGAAGCGAACAGAAACAAGCGGTTATCACAGATGTAAACAACATTGAAAATACAACGTCAAGCAGCCGCGTGAATGGAGCATTGTGCTCGTTCGCCAGCAACAGAATAGGTGCATGTGGATCGGTACAGGGAACTGTTGTGTATATTTCAAACTGTACGTTCTTAAAGGGTTGGTGCGTAACACTGACAAAGTGAGTTACGAGGGCAATAGGAGAGCAAAGCTACACTTATGGGAAATACACCATCACCTCATCGTCCTCGGATTCCTCAATTTCGTTGATCCTGGGACAAAAGAAACTCAGTCTACGGCACTGGACAATGACGCAATCCCCAGGCTGGTAGGCAACAGAGAAGAACATTGAAAAGCCGTCTTATACACAAGTCAAGCAAATAAGCTTTAAAAAAAGAATAAAACTAAAACAAACAGCAAACAGAACTCACACGACTATCTCGTGGCAATCGTTTGAATGACTTGTTGATTGACAAATTGTGCCGAAGGGAGTTCTTCCATCCTGCACCAGCTTGCTTATAAAACGGAAAATTTGTTTCGCACCAATTGTAAATCTGATTGACAGTCATACACTTTTGTGGCGTGGACTCAATCGCCATAAAAATAAGATGCGTATAACTGTAGTTCGGTTTCGCCAAGCCCTGACCACTGAGATTGAGTTGATGTGTGTTGACCACATGGGGATCCACTACACATGGTGAAGAATAACGTTCGGTATCTGCAGACGCAGGTCGCTGGATCGATAGATTTGATGCGCTGCTTGTGGTGTGCGACTCGATCTGTGTTGGTGGACGGATGGTAAATGGTGAGAATTCTAAGGGTTCATCAAGATTCACTGGTTGACGCGTTGATAAGAAATCATCACTTTTGCCCGAAGAAATGGAGGCTGTGGAATTCTCGAAACAATTCTGATGATCTTCTTCCCCATCGAGTGGAGCTATTTGAATTATATCACCTTTCTGAAGCCAAGCCAATGAAACCAAATCACCAGGTGTAGAGCTAGGTTCATTTTGCTGAGCATTAGACCAAGGGTCATTTATTCGGTTGGAGTTTGAGAAATCTCCGTGGTTAGTGAACAGGGGTTCTTTAATCGTCATGGAAAGCTTTAATGGAGCACGGAGACCGAAGGAATCGGGATATCCACGATGCAACAATTGCCTTTTATCCATATAAGGCGGAGAATATCTGGAAAAAATGGATATTCCTCATTAAGTCCGTCCAAAATGAACAATATATAGACCCACACAGTCCCTGACATTCAAGGTACCAATGGAACTTGGTACACTAACGATGAACGGGAAAAAATCTATTCGTAAGACAATCAAGAGGGTCGGCGTTTGTATGAAGCATTCTGGTACACAATGGCATTAGGACAGTTTCAGTTATAACAATTGTAAAGACATCAACACTGTTAAATTTTCTTTATGATGACGGGGAAATCTTATTTATTCATCTTAAACTCGAAGGGACTGAGGGTTAAAAAATAGCATGGTACTTTCTGCTACAGTACAATCGAAATTCAAAAATACAAAAATGTATTGCCTTTCTCGTTCTTCATCACGTTTAAATGTCACAACCACAACAAACTGCCATTATCGGCCTTGTTATTTAGGTGCACTCATAGCACGACAAAGCATTTATTAATGAGCAATATTCACAGACAGGTAAATGAGTTCGATTGACAAGTGCAAACTGGTTACTCGACAACGGGGCTTATAGTACTCCATTGTTTAAGTCAGATCTACGAGTTAAACGCTTTATAGCACAAGCCCTCTAACCTCCAAGACCGACCACGTTGTGTGCAATCAAATGTCAATTATGAAACCCGGAGATGGTACGAACACGATGACCAATTACTTACATCAACCTGTCGCCTCCGTATGGTAACTTAAGCCTTTGATAACACCTGATGTCACTCAAATTCGATGGTTCCATACGTAACCAAGTAACACTATATATATATGTTTAATGTACACTAGTTTATCTTCCACTCCAACAATTTTCCCCTCGTTTTATTATGATACCCACAAATTGATCCGGGTATCCATTTTGTTGGAAGATCTAGCGCAGGAATTCTATTTAATTCTGAACTGTATCAGCCGAGCAGATTAGCATATGAATGAACTGGCAAAAGATTACCGGATTCGCATGCCTGACGAGCGGCAGGAACCGCGAAACCGGTCGCGTGCTTCCAGGGAAATTTTGTCCAGTCATTCACATACTACTTATTGTAATATATATATATATATAACACCAATCTTTACAGATACGGAGCCAAAAGCAACGTTTCAACAAGACATGTGTATGTTGCACGCAAAGCTATGTTCACGATAAAAACAGACCCCCCAGAGAAGTACAGGATTTGAGCGTCACTAAATATAAGTTAGGTGCCGTAAAAAATCAAATTGTTTGTGAAACCAGATAATCGCTGAATCTCAGGAATTACGGTGGTGCATAAAGAACAGCTAGACACCGAAGCCAACAACGTTTTGAAAATAAGAGCTTGTGCTCCTAATACTGTTCACACCGGTTGAGAAACTAGCACGATGCAACAAAAAAATCCTACCCAGACTTCGAATAAGCAGCAAATGGACGTACACTAATCCTTGGGAAATAACTCCTACTTACATCTAGAACAAAATGAGTAAAGCACACTAATCACTGGTGTCAGGCCGATTTTCAAGACCTCCGATGGGATACTATCCTCCCCAGCTGATTTCCTATTATTCCTACTATTCGATCGTCGGACTAAATTCGTGATTTCTCTTGGTGGTTCACAGTTGGTGTCGTATAAATCACATCTTTTCAGTTTCAGTTTTAACAACGCTGCACTTTCGTGCGGCGGTTTTTAAATGATGTCTCATGACTGCCCATGTGGGATGGAGTGAGCGGGTTAGTAACCTAAAAGTCGTCAGGTGTTTGGGAGTACATCCAACAAAAGCTCGTTTTCGCATCGAATTCAGCTTAATAGGCTCGGTTGGTTAGGACACGTTTTGCGTGTTGAACGGTCGCCTACAGCNNNNAGCAGCGCGCCTTTTTTGCAGTGGCCGCTTCAGACTAGAGAAAGTCACGGGGAGGCCAGCAGATGACTTGAAGACGAAATATGAATGAATGCACAGAGCGATTAGGCAGATTAGGTGTCTCCCATTTTCCTGTTTTGGTTCCAAAAGGCTAAACAATTGCATGGTTGGAGACATTGAATGTCATGGCAGCAAGCTGACAGCAGTGGCGATCTTGCCCTCACTTCTCATCAGTTCAGAATGCTTGAAGTAGTATGAATGCACAGTCGAACCATGTGCTCTGTATGTTGACTAGAGAGTTTCTGTCTTCCCGTCCCTAAAAATAAATCGAATCCCTATCCTACCTACACCTAACTAATACCTGGCATGAGGGTATGAAAACCCTAACCAGGAGACTAGGT